AAGGTTCCAACAGTCACACACATCACAGCAACAACAACAATGCTGGCGTCGAATGCTGCAAGTGAATCATGAGTATGGTTTAACAGGAGATCCTCGCTGTTTCCCAACATGTTTAGCAACATTATGATGTCCTGTTGCGTGCAAAGTGTTACCTAGTAGATTTTTAGGTGCACTTTGGATACACTATAATAAATTTTAGTAAGCCCAAATAAATTGTTTGAAATGGAGTTTCGTTGAAAAAAAATATTTTATTTGGAATTTAAGAAATATTGTTGCGCCAACTTTGGTGAGATTTGCCACTACTAGTACAGTGCAATTTTTATCAGTACAGTTCATTTGACGTTAGGTGAAAAATTAATTAAGAACACTTGGTTCGTCAAAAAGCTACATTCTGTTTCAAACTAATACTATAAGATAATACTACTCAGGATAATATAAGCAAAAATACACACGATAAAATAAAGAATTGTAGTAACAAGAGTCAAAAGACTGTCACATGGTGTACTTTTTCGTGGATAAGACATGTCATTGTAATTTATAAACTATATGACTTGGATTTTTTTCTATATTTTTTGATAACTGTTGGAACCCTGCTGATCACCTGGTACCATTTGATCGCCGACTTCGGGGACACCCTATATATAATTAGATACAAACTAAATAATAAATAACAATGCCTAAGATAAATAAAAACTAATATATTTACAACTAATTTTAACATAAGAAACATACAAAAATAGGATAAGGAAAATAGACAAAGGTAGGCTGTGGTGTCCAAGTCTGATGACATCTTCACGACAACGACTACCATGAAGTTAACAAAATTGAACTCCAATTCAGAGACAGATTCCAGCGCGGAATGTGGTCCCGTCCAACAAAGTACCTAGGTTGGACGAATGCAAAGCAAGGAACCATAGGCCCGACTCCCATTCACTACTCATACACTACATTTCAACTCTATTAATTAAAAAAGAAAAGATCAAAACAATTTTATTTATTACGAGAATTTAAAAGTTTCTATGTTCAGGTTTATGGAATTGTTCAGCGATTCCAAGACGCTCTTCAACACACGGACCGTCCGCAACCACATGAACTGATGGGAAGCAAATCAAACACATCTTGTTTCCGTAAGTAACGCCATTCGAGCCACACACTGGTTCATAGATCATTGGACAACGACAATGTTTTTCTAGGGAGTCACCAATAGCAGTGAGACAAAAAGTTGAGAGAAAGATAATCACTAGCTTTACTTTAAGCATCTTAAAATATTATTTCGATAAATACCAATCTTCGACCTTTGCCTTCAAGCCTTGCGGCCTCTGCTGTTGTTGTATTTATTCTGTCTATTGTAAACAAAACACACTTTTAACTAACACCAAGCATGGAAAATTAATACATCGAAACTAAATTTATCAGAAAATCCATTTTAATTATTAGCAAATACCTCTTTCTACAAAAACGCATACCTAATCACCTTAAATTAATACAACAACTTTTTTGGCATACAGAATTATACGATAAGAAATAGTAATTATATTTTTAATAACTTGTATAACTGAAACATTGAATTATAGCTCAAAAATTTAATACAATAAGATAAATTTTAAATCTTTTCTCAGAATGTAAGATCAATAAAATCAAAACGAAACTAGAAAGCAATATAAGAATCAAAACAATCAGGTTTTATTTACACACATAACATAACATAACATCACGCCTTTTATCTCCGAAGGGGTAAGCAGAGATGCACATTACGGCTCTTAATACTAGTGTACCATGTAACACCCACTTTTCTCTATTTTATGTTATGAGTCCCATGTAATGGTGGATGAGCCTATAGCCATACCGGGAACAATTCCAGACTCCTTGCTACCACTGAGATTTTTTTTAAAAGCCGGTAATACTTTGCCCGACCCGGGAATCGAACCCGAGACCTCGTCCGGCAGTCACACTTGCGACTCGGTCAACGAGGCTGGTTTTATTTAACAACTTCATAATTATTGTTGAATTCCGGTCATCAGTCATACTCGTAGATTGTTGATATGACATAGCTAAGTTAAACAAGCCCTATTTATGTCCGAGCTTGATTGAAGAATATAACAAATGATATCAAATTTCCACCGTCAGTAGTACATATTAGTTGTCAGAAAACTTTTTCTCCAGTTAGCTTAACAAGGAGAAACTTGTAACAAGCGTCAAAGGGCAACACTAAGTCAAAGACATCGTTATATTTCAGCTTTCTTTTATAACCAAAGCGGTAACTTTATCTTTTGAATTCTTTGTAAGTTTGTTTGTCCGTTATTAAGTAATGCGACCCTTTTACAATAGATCTCGACATTTCCTTCTCAGTTTCATATGTGGAGAAGTTATTAGATCTAAGTGGGCTGCAAAATTGATTTATTGAGATTTGGAAGATGTTGAAACAATTGTTAAAAAACAAGTTGAACCCACACTACGATTTTCTCACGTGTTGTTGGTGCGTTTACAAACATACAATTTTACATACACATGACAGTTGCCCAGACCTGAAACAATAACTAATCTCTAACGAGTCACTATTTATTAGTAATTTTATAATTACGTAGGTACAGGTAACCTAAAAATTGCGAATAAATAGTTTGCTTTTCAACCAGAATTTGTGAAAGGATTTGTAAACTAAAAACTAATTAATTATGAGCATTTTATAAGATAAAAACAAATATGCAGTCAAAAGGTAGTTACCCAAAATAATCAGAATTAGGTAAGTATTGCTGTAAGTATAATATGATAAAAGATACTAGTGCTGTAGTACTGCATGTCGCAAGGAAACGCCTTTTTATGAATAACATTACTTTATCACAAAAAATACATACAAGTCCGTGTAGTAATTAAATATATCTGTTACGCATTTAATAAAAGTGTATTTGCTAAATACCTAATTTATTACTTATATGCGTTTTTTCATCAAAATAAAGAAAAATTAATTGTACAATTGTTTGCTTCCTTTAAATTATCGTCACACAGAAATATGTATATTTATCAACGATTCATAATAACGCACATAAACGTAAACATTAACCGAGTTTATAATTTAGAAAGTTAAATCAAATCGAATACTCATGCGTGGAGTATTACTAACATCATTTCGAATTATTTGCGATTGTTAACGGTGAATTTACATACGCAAGAGCGTACGTGGCAATCACAGGGACGTAACTGTCACGTCAAAGTTTGCGTTTACGTTCACCTCGGGCGCGAACACGTAACACGTAACTAAAGTGTCTGTTTGCCAAGTTTTCGAATGCGTCTTCATATCTTAAGGTGTCTGTTTGTTACTTGTTATTTAGTACTGGAGTTCAAGGTTGCACAGTTCACTTGAGCGACAATTTATGGGACGTTAATAAAGTTTTCATATAAATACATAGGTACGCACGTTCTTTATCAGTCTCTAGAAGTTCGAAAATAAATTTCTTGTTAAATTACTAATATTCATCAACTAGTTTTTAATTAAACAGTATTTAAAATAGCTGGAAACAATTTAAAGAAAGTAATACAACATCTGATAACAATATCCGTACTTACTTCAAGTCTAAACATTTTCAAAGAAAAATGTATAAAAAAATCTCATCTGAAACACTTAAATAAAATTTCTTCTCGAAACTTTGGAAACTGGATCATGTATAATGAAAAATACAAGAGTATGAGGGTGGTGAGATTAAAACTAAACTGTGTAACACAAGATGCGTTAGCTAACGCCGCGTAGCGTTTGAGATAAAACTTTTAGAAAGCAGTATGATAATAAATCGTCAAGTTTCTCTTCTCGTTGGCAAGTCTTATAGCAATGCGGTAAAAAGCCTGGAAAAGACGCTGATATTATGTAGATGTTGTCATATTCTTTGGGTTATTATATAAACAATCTAGTTATTAGACGTACCTAATTCGTAAAACATCCAACAACCCAAAAGGATTCATGTCATTAATCGCTTAGGATTAACATTTTTTTAAACTATGTTAGAAATGTTAATAGTAGATAAGACGTATTACTAACTTTAAAATGTCACAATCACAGTATGCGATTACTTAAACTTTCGATTTAATGTTACGTCTATTTATTGGTACCTACCTACATTATGTAGGTAAGTAAATCACACGTAATTCAGGCAAGGGCTTTAATTCCCGTACGTCTAGCCTCATCTGTGAACCAAACTTGATTGATGACAACATAAATTGAGCTGTCATTACGTGCCGCATCCAGTTACTCAACATCCGTTCGCTGCCTTGTCCTACCTTATGACTTAGCAACGGCATAAATTAAGCGCCGGCAAGTAATGGGCAATATTAGAGACAAGCTTGTTTTATTACCATACTTGGGTGCAAGTTTTCTACGTGTCTCCAAGATCGGGTGCTGTACCACCGTTTTACTGAACATGTATCGGTTTTAAGATTTATGGATGAGAGTTTAATACTGTGGAAATGTAGTTTAGTTTGGTTCTATTTGGGGCATAATGTTCCCTTCAAATTGTTCCTAAACATTCTAATGGAAAGTAAATAGATATATTGAATAATGTATTAATCAAAACAGAAATTAACTTTATAACTCAGAGTGACTCAGAGTTAACCTTAGTGAATTAATGATACATATTCATGATATATGTCGACTCCGGCAAAGGTGTACGAGTCTACTATTCAAGTCTGTGTGCAAAAACAGGTGCAGGCACGATTAGCGGATGCGCAGCACGTGTTTCTGCCGAGGCGCAGTACTGCCACTAATCTACTTAACTTCATGGCGCGCGTCGTACCGACAGTGGACACTGGAGTGCAGATAGATGCCGCCTATTTTGACTTTAAAAAGGCATTCGATACTGTTGATAACGACATACTGCTGAGTAAACTGGCAGAGGTGGGGTTTACTCTACACCTACTTAACTTATGTTGACTACAGGGGTTGCGAATCTGAACCATATCTAGCTAGGTCTGGAGTAAGTCAGGGTAGCAACTTGGGGCCATTGGAATTCATTATAATGATCTATGATCTACCAGAGGTAGTCAAGCATGCACTTTGTTTGTTGTTTGCCAATGACCTTAAGTTGCTACTTGAAATTAAAAATGGTGCGGATTCTAAGCTCCTTCAAGAAGACATACAAAGAGTAGTAGAATGGAGCCAAAAGAATAAGCTGTATTCTAATGTGAACAAATGTTCCATGATGACGTTCACTCGTGCAAAAACACCAGCATACTACGAGTACACGGTGGAGTCTGTACCAATGAAGCGGGCTGCTCAGATACGAGATCTCGGAGTTATAATGACATCAGATTTAACCTTTCGGGAGCATATTATTAAGGTGTGTAAAAAGGCGTATAGGAACTTGGGGTTTATACTGAGGCAGACACAGGGGTTCAATAGGATATCAACGCTAAAGGTACATTATGATGCTTTAGTCAGAAGTCACCTTGAACATAGTGCGGTAATCTGGGCTCCACATGAAACGAAGTACAGTGTCATGCTAGAGCGAGTTCAGAACAAGTTCACAAGGCACTTGTACTTCAAACTGTATGGCGTGTACCCTTTTTACCCTTTAATGTACCCGACATTGTTTGTGCTGGGCATGGTGGGGTATAGCGAGCTGAGAGTGCGCAGAGAATTTACGTTAGCTGCTTACGTGGTGAAGTTATTACGAGGTATGGTACATAACCCGAGAGTGCTGCGCCACCTGCAGCTGTGTGTGCCTGACCGTGTGTGGAGGCGACATCGTCCGCCACTGCTCGCTGTACCTGTAGCCAGAACCAATCTACTGGCCAAGACCCCGCTCACACGAGCCATTTGCACGGTAAATGAGGTTCATAGCCGCATTGAGATATTTTCGTGCAATACTAGTGAACTAGTGAGAATATTATTAAATATAAGTGCATATAATAATACGTTGCAATAGAATTTCCGATGTCAAAATTGTTTACTCTCTCAAAAAAGTTACAAACTTATTTCTTTGTTTTGTTATTTTAATAATAGTTTATTTTAGTAAGTAGGTACTGAATAGGTGTTAAGTAAAATATCGTTTATGAATAGTATTACAGAAGCCGTCTATTATTAGTATTCAAGCAGGTTCTATTTTACCACTTACGCAAAAAAGCAGTTAAATGTAACGTCATTGTAAATACCTTAAGTATTTCGATAACTTATCATAAAAATATAGTGTAAGAAATGTCAGCTCTAGAAACATTGGATGGATAATATTGCACGCTTAGTATTCATATTACAATATAGGTATACATTGTTTTTCTGGGTTTAGATAAAAATATTATTTTACGTCAAATTAAAAACACGACAGAATTTGGTGTTGCATTCAGATGAAGTTGTACAGTCAGCGCATACTCATCAATCTGGCCATACCCTTAGGTAAAACCAACATTGTGTTTCACGCATTTTCCTTCCCAGGGGTAAACAGGGTTCGCAGTGGGTTGTACATTAATATGTTAATATTGTTGACCTAGTAACTATAATCACAGAGTAAGCCGCTTATCATCGAGTGTAAGTTCTGCAGAGCGGGCAAGCTAGTCTATCTACAACGAACGGTCCAAAGTTAGCCATTTTCTCAATTTATGTTTTGCCGATACTATTAAATTCTGTCCTAAATATACCAAATAAGAACATTTGACCCTTTACCCGTCAGTTGGTTCAAGATAATTCCTAATTCCCTTTTCTGTTAAAATATGTATACCTCAGTGTAGTTAGAATGTTTTAAAACATAATTAAAAAAAATATTTACGATATAAGCAGAAAATTTTAGCTTGACAAATAATATTCTGATAAAAATAAAGTAAGAATAGAATCTTACTAGCTATATACATATCAACACTTGTGCAGCACAAGTGTTGATATGTACTACTGAGATTATGTCAACTATTGTAGCACAACTTGTGCTACAATAGTTGACATAATCTCAGTAGACATAAAGTACAAAAAAATATTATGTGTTTTTAATCCAAATAGATAAACTATACAAATGTCATATAATCACTGTAACACAAAAAAATTAAGAATTCAAATCAAAGGTTATACCTTCCATAAAAATAACTTATTAATCAACTCGACGAAAATATGTTTAATCTCAATAACAATTAACAACTTACACTTAAATGAATTTAGATATACGCCATTTTGACAAAGAAAACATATTTTATCCAATATTTACTTTCAAAACATGCAAATCCATGAAACAATAAAACGTAGGACAGTAAATCTCAAACGAAAACCATCAAGCTGAAATGCTTTCGAACAACTCCTTCATGTTCTTGAATACTTATCAAAACAACTGGAATTAATATAACGGCTTGTTGTTTACGTTGGTAAGTATAACAGGCTCAGATGTTACGTTTCAGCTTTACCTAAATGAAATGCAATAACAACACGCCATTTATACTTGACAACTGAGGTTTCAGAGTATAAATATTTTATGTATAATACACCTGTATGTTGCTCAAAGTTACCTTACACAGTTGAAACTGAATATTAAAATGTAATTAGTGAGTGATAACGCCTGATTATTAATAACGTCAGCATCGGTCCTAGTATCGTGTTACCAGGCATATGCATAGATTACGCTATATGTTCTTACTAATGTAATGATAATTACCATTATAAAGTCTATAACAATTTAATTTCAAAAAATAATTGCAGCACCACTGTGAAATGAGTGTATGTTGGAATTTAGTATAAGATATTAAATTTTACTCTCTGTTTATGCACAGACCACCACGTATTCCAAAACTATTTTGTATGTAAGATATTTATTCGCTATAAATATCACAATCTCATAAAACCCCTCGGGTGCCTGTCGAATCTAAAATCGTGTTCACCTGTCGCACTGTCTAGCCAAATTTTATCCAGAATTTATTCCACGCCCTAGTGTATAGTATACTACAATTCCCAGGCCTGGTATTGCACGATTTAGTAATAAATGGAGCTGAATAATGTCATAAATAACATCAATTACTATTACTCAAAGTTTTCTCAGTAGTCGACTTAAGGCATAAAAATAAGTACAAAATAGTAATGGTGAGTAAAATTTTTTATGCCAAAATTTACTATTTACTGTTTGGGTAAATAATCATAGATATTGCGTAGTCTGTCTTTTGGACGCATCGCCACTTACGGCTCTACAGCTAGCCGATTTATATTTTACAAAATACATAATTATAATATTCGTACCTGTAGATATTAATTATGCATGCACGATATATGGTTCGCGTACCTACTGAAGTGGGTATATGATAAATAACAGGTACATCGGATAATGCATTAAATATAGGTACAATGTACCTATGGATTTGGTACGCTTCAAATGTATTTTGTTCATTAGTTTACCAAGTCCTGTACATACCTACTTGAATACAACAAGGGCATTCGTAATGTTATTTACTTTATTTCTTAAACACCTTTAACCACAATACTTGGACAGCACTTGTCTAACATATTACTCTGTCACAGTAAATCACGAAACAAACTAAGAATAACAAGCAAAATCTTGTATATTACTTACGACCCGAGTTTCTCTTCAAAACTCAACTAAAAACCTACCTTATCAAGTCACGTAACAATAGGCCAACATTTAAATTTAATTAAAAGCAATCTTCAGGGATCCTTAGTCTATAAACACCTGGAAATAAATTCACCCGACTGCCAACAATTCTTCTTTAATAGGCCAGCGAGCCGACAACGTTATCGCGAAAATTTAATAACAGTAAAACAAGTACTGCGACGCACATACGGCCGACAAGTAAAGGCAATTCTTCATTCATGAAACCTCACTATTTGAGTCCAAAAAATCTCAAAATAAAAATCGTACAAACCATAACCGTAGGTAAGTAGAAATCCGTAAAATTTTTCGTATGGATACAATTATTACATGGTTTATTACAATTACTTCCCACCCTTAGTTTTGATATAGTTATTTCATCTATCAAAATTCTGATCACAAATATAATATTATCCCCTCATGCATATACACCGAGGGAACCTGCAATGAAATCAATTACATTTTGGAACTAAACTCAATATTGGCTCCGTCGATTAGAATTTTATTCACCCCTCTACCAAAAGTTTAGCCACATGTTTGCATATAAAAAGTTGTGATAAATGTGGTGTTAGGGGATGAAACTGAAAATTGTACTTGTGGAAGATTTCACATATATCTGGTACATTTTATGATCAATTTTATTTTCTCTCATATTAGTCGTTTTCTCTAGCAGTGTGTATTGCATAAGGGCTATACATATATCTCATTAAGTAGTTATTCAAGGATGCTACGGGAGCCACAACAATGAGCCGTTAGGGCGCAGGCTCACTTAATTAAGCTTAGTTAACTATACGTGCTCACAAAATGGTCATTAAACTCAGTTAAAACTAAATGTTTTGATGTACCCCTGACATAGTATTAAATCATTCGACTATTAAACACCTATCGTGAGACATACTAAATTAAGTAAAAACGCGGGTTACTCACGTGAATATACTGAGAAAAGCTCTACTAGTTTCGAACCACAGAGGGGTTCTTCCTCATGAGCAGCGTGCGCGGTCGCCGCGACCGCGCACGCTGCTCACGTGAGTAACCCGCGTTTTTACTTAATTTATTAAACACCTAACCGCTATTAAGCATCCAAAACTTTGTAATTATTTAAAACGCCTTGCTAACAATCCTACAGTATAGGTACATACTATAATTATACTGCATACCTATAAGTAATATCCTTAATAAGCAAAAATGAGAATAACCTTTTTATATTTGAAGTCATTAAATTTTTATATACGTATTCTATTATTATTTATTATAATATGAGAGTTAAAACAAAAAGTCCAATTCATTAAAACAATGAATAATAATAATAACAACAGATGTATTAACAATACACACAGTAATTAAGCGCAGAGGCATCAGGTGCATCGAATGGAAATCAATTAATGTTATTGCCGAGCAATACTAGCCTGTAGGTAATTTGCGTTATTTGCTAGCTTATTAAACCAGGATTATCTTGATACGTATATGCCAGTCGGGTAGTGAGTTTCAACCAGAAGTGTTAAACTCTTATGTACCTATAAAAATTACTTGCCTTAATAAATCGTAATGTTATTGTTATTTAAGTAAGATGTAAGAAAGAAGCAATTGAAAAGGAAAACAGTTCTAAATATAGAAGTATTGATTCATAAATATGTTTTAGATGTGTAAAAATTATGACTTGTTAATCAACTCCGTTAAAACTTGACAATAAGAGATACAAAAACATTTAACAAAACAATATACATACATAAAGGTACCTAAATAAAGCAGCCCAATAAAAACACAAAATGTAGTCCCCACATTACAATTCCAACTGGAGGTAAAAATCTTATAAAACTCAATTTAGTTAAAATCGGATCCCGGCTTCCCCTTGCATAGGATCGACTGGATTCAACGCAACCAATGATTTTCAATTCGAGATAAGAAGATTTGACTTGGATATATTATTTTATTATTAGTACGAGTGTTTTGCACTGGCAAAAGGTTTCTTCGTAATATCAGTTTGAAATAATGCTGAAAGATTTAAAAAATAGTACCAAACATTTTAATTTTTTTTTAATAAATTACATATTACAAAATAAACGCAAAATTAATGTTAAAATCATAATTTTATCACACACGGATCTGTTAGTTGGTAATAGGTGGCATAATTGTACACAATACGTGTACGGCATGCAAATACAGGAAAACGTCTCTATATTTTCGAAATCAATAATCTAGGTACTATCATTATAATATTCATAATCATAAAATTAATTAAAAAGACATTAAATTGTATACAATTATTTTCATAGCGATTTCTCACGGTCATTAGTAATTATAATTGTTAGCATATCAATTTTTAAATATTATCTTATTATGATTAAACACGTTTTTAA